GGGCACGCCAGGCAGCATACACATTGCACTCATGAATAGGCTGTACTTTCCTCCCTAGCTACTGATGTGCATGAGCTAATCCTGACAAACACACACTCAGACAGCTGCAGTGTGAGGAGTGAGATGGGTATGAGCAGAGTGTAAAATATCAGCACGCTGTCCACGGAGCTATCTTAGACAGAGTTCTATCGCTGCTGTCCACGGAGCTATCTTAGACAGTGTTCTATCGCTGTGAAGAGACACTGTGACCATGGAAATTTTTATAAAAAGAAAGCATCTAATTGGGGCTTGTTACAGCTTCAAAGACTTAGTTCATTATCCTCGTGATGGGGAGCATGGTAGCACCCAGGCAGACTCGGTAGCTGAGGGTTCTACACCCATATCTGCAAGCAACACCAAGTAAATAGCCCCGGGGCCTGATATGAACTTCTGAAACCTCAAAACCTACCCTCAGTGACACACTTCCTCAAACAAGGCCACATCTACTCCAAAAAAGCAACATCTCCTAACCCCTCTCAAGTAGTTCTGCTCCCTGGTGACGAGGCATTCAAACATATGAGCCTATGGGGGCCATTCTCATTCAAAGCAACACAGATGTTAACCAAGAAAAATCCGTCAGAGAAGATTAATTTTGGTTTTGCAGTTATTAGGAAAAATTGAGAACAAAGACACCCCGGGCCTTAGGAAACAGAAGAAAAGCCCAATATAGAAAATTCACATGCAAGAATTTTAACTTGAATTATATAAGAATTTAAAATAGAACAGACCCTATCACATTTAATAATATAATCTAGCCCATTCCAGTGGTTCTCATTCTGTGGGTCGTAACTGCCTTGGGGGGCTGAATATCAGGTATCTTGTATATCAGATACTTACGTTATGATTCATAACAGTAGCAAAATTACAGTTATGAAGTATCAATAAAATAATTTTATGATTGAGGTCACTACAACATGGGGAAACTGTATTAAAGGGTCACAGCGTTAGGAAGGTTGAGAACCACTGGACTAGAGAGATGAGCTTGTAAACAACACAGAACTAACAAGTAGAGTGTGAAGGGAAAGGGTACAGTTTCATTGGCACTTTGGGGAAAGTGAATGTTCACATACATCAAACATACCTAATCTAATAATCAGTAAAATTGACTTGGTCAAGCTGAGCTAGGTAACACGTGCCTATAATTCTGGGAGACAGAGGAGAAAAACCAGGAATTCAAGGCCATTTTTTTGGCATGCCAGTAAGTTCAAGGATAGCCTCGGCTACACGCAGTTCTGTCTCCCAAACCAATAAAGCCAAAACAAAAGACCGTTTTATATTATTTTCAGTGAAGCTAAATTTTAAGCTTGGATATTTAAGCTTTAGGATATGGAACTGTACTCCTCTAGTAGGTGGCTTTTGTGGTCACCATCCATCTCTCTTGATGCCCTGTGGTGTCATGATTTTCCTAACAAGCAGAGTACCATCGGCATACTTATGGTTAGCGTATATGTTCACATACATATTATTTTTTCTACGTATAAATATAATTTTTCCCAGGTCCAAGGAGAGATCCCCAGATTGTTCTCTGGACAGAGGAGGGGGTGCCTGAATCGGCCTTGGCCCGTGACCATACTGATGAATATTTTGCTTATCACCATAGATCCCTCATCTGGCGTTGGATGACGATACAGATGGAGGCCCGCGTTGGAGCACCGAACTGAGCCCCCCAAGATCCAAACGAGGAGCAAAAGGAGGAAGAAAATGACGAAGGACTGCGAGGGATACTATCACCCACTGATACAAGGGGTCGGATCTAATGAGAGTTTACCAAGGCCAGATGGACCGTGACTGAACGAGCATGTGATCCAACCAGATTCTCTGAATGTGGCCGGATTTTCTGAATGTGGCTGGCCTGCAGTCTTTCCGAGAAGCCATTGACAATGACACTGGGACTGGTTTCCTCTGCATATACTGGATTTTTGGGATCCAGTCTGTTTGGATGTTCACCTTCCTGGACCTGGAGTGAGGGGGGAGGAACTTGGACTTCCCACAGGGCAGGAGACCCTGACTTCCCTAGGGGACAAAGAGGGAGGAGGAGAGGGAGGGGGGGAGTGGGAGGGCGTTGGGAGGAGGGGCGTAAATGGAAACTTTTTATAATTTAATAAAATTAAAAAAAATAAATATAATTTTTCTATCTCATGACTTAGAAAGTGTATATTAAACCTAGCTCTATTATCAATGGTGTCATTCAAATGTCTTGGTCAATAGTGAAGGCTATCCAAAAGGGAACACTGGTTAAGCAGAGGCATTGACGTACTGATAAACTTCAAGAAAAACAATTTTAAAATTACACACTTCTGAAATGCTCACATCTTGACTTATATTTATGTTCATCTGGATAGAATCAAAGAAGTGTGGGATGTTGCCAGTTAATACTACGTCTCAGAAGAAGGAAAATACAGCACTTTTCCCCCCATAAAGACAGGGTCTTTATTTATAGTTTAGACTGGCATTCAACCTGCACCCTCCCACTTTAGATTCCCAAGGCATAGCATTATAAGCCTGTGTCACCACATTCAGCCCACAACACTGCTAAAAGGGCATAAATCAAGAAAAAATAGACTATTAGTCAGAATGGCCATTATCAAGAGCACACACACACAAAAAATAATACTAGCAAGGATTGGGAGAGAAAAATCTTTATGCACTGTTGTTGGGAATATAAATTAGTCCAATTTCTAAGGAAATAAGCATGGATATTTCTCAAAAATCTTAGCGTAAAACTGCTGTGTGATCTAGCTGTACCATTACCAGAGGTGCACCTAAAGGTATCCAAGTCAGCATACCACAGGAACGTCCGCACAAATGTGTTTACTGCAACGTTATTCACAATAACCAATTGCATAACTGGTCCAGATACCCATCAAGAGATTAATGGATAAAGAAAATTATAGTTTTTGACAACAAAGATAATGAATCTATGTAATTTGCCCCCAAATGGGTGCAACTGGAAATCACCATGCTAAGCAAAATAAGTAAGATGCAGACAATACAAATATTACATGTTTTCTCATGTGTAGAATCTATAAAAGGAAATAAGCCTGACACGAGACCAAAGGGCTACTGCAGCACAGGAAGTAGATCAGGGGTGGAGGAAGGCAGGGTATGAGAAATAATCAAAGTACAAATGTGCTTGAATGAAAATAGCACACGTGGGAATTCTTTGGGGAAAGCGTTTTCTTAGGCGAGTTCACATTTAGTGCCTTTGCGTGTGTCGACGATGTGCTGAGCTGTGCTTTTGAAGACTCTCCTCCAGCTAAGCTTAAGCAATGGAAGCTCAGCATCCCCCATAGACACTCTTGATAGGATGAGCCTGATCAGATCAATTTCTACATAAAATTCATAGCTTCATCACACACTTTAAGTACACCTATATGTGTTGTGTGTTATGCCATTCATCTAGGTACTCTTCACTCAGGACACATGTATTGAACAACTGTGAAGTTCCAGGCAGCCTTCCATGGCTGACAAGCATCAGTGAACAAAGTAGAGCTGCCCTCTGCCACATGAGTTACACATAACACACATAAGAGAGGGGGCAGGAGAAGGAGAGGGAGAGGGAGGGGAGAGAAGAGAAGGGAGAGGGAGGAGGGAAAGGGAGGGAGAGGGAGACAGGGGAGGGAAGAGAAAGAGAGAGGGAGGAGGAAAAGGAGAGTGAGAGGGAGGGGGAGAAGGAGAGGGAGAAGGAGCAGAGAGAAGGACAGGAAGGGGGGAAGGGAGAGGGAGGGAGCAAATACCATGTGAGAGCTATAATTATTATATAAATTATTATAACCTTGATGAACTATACAATAGGGATATTGGAAAAGACTCAAGCTTTCAGTTTTTAAGTAAATGTGGTAAATTTAGGCAAATACATAGAAGAAAATTGAGTCACCTTAGCAAAAAGCACACTTCCGTATTATGTCTTCATATCACCCCACGATTCTGCCAGCCTTGAGATGTAGGGGCTGAATGTGACATTTAATGTCTGGTCTCCTTCTTTTCTGTTTTGCAAGCATTTCTCTTTGTCTTTACTCTTCAGAAGTGTAGCTTTGATGTGGAAAACCTTACATCCTGTATAAAATTAAGTTTATTGTTTTTGATAGCTTCTCTGATCATAAATGAAATTTACATGCATAAATCTTTATCTACATAGAGTGCTGAATAGAATCACAAGATTGGGTGTCATATACATTTCTGGACTCTGGAAATTCTCCCTCCTGAGTGGTTCTGTAGGAAGGGCACATTTTCTCAGTACTGTCTTAGCGGTACCAGTGCTCTTTGCTTTTCTTTCTTTCTTCTTTTGAGATTTCTTTGGTGCTATATATTAAATTATGCATTCCTTTTTAGTGGTGAAGTTGATTTCTAAAATATGTTTGTTGGTTCTTTGGCATTTTCTCTTTATTATGAAATATTTGTGCATGAGATACATATTTGTTGTGATTTTTCCAAGTGATAATTTATATTAAATTTTTTGACATTAAGAAATATTTTGTGCATTCAAACTTGTTGATCTTTTTCTTTTGATTTCTTTTTATTATTCTGTTTATGTTACATATCCTGAGATCATTAAAATCCGTACCTTTTAATTATTTTGTAAGTGTTTTAATTTTCACGGGTGGATTTAACTTATGTGTACTTACTTTGACAAGATGGGGCCTTAATTTGAGCTTTTTCCAACAGCTCATTTTCTAAACGTCGTTTTGCTAATAAAATAATTATTTTTTCCATAGGCATATGATGCTCTACCATCTGTCAGGTTTACATACACAGGACTGGTCTGTTTTGAAACTTGAAATACACTGTCTAAAAGACTCTGCTTTAAATGTGGTGAGTGATTCTTTCCTTTACTTTCTGTCCCAGGTGTGAACAAATTACAATTCTTAGTACTGTATTGCCGGAATGGGCGAGAACAACCTGCGGAGGCATTTAGGACCCAGGGGAAAGCCAGGCTTGGTATAGAAGGACAGAGTCTCTGGCGCACACGCCTCCTACCCAAATCACAGCCCTGTGCAGACCGGCTCTCATTCACAGCTTTCTAGAGAAATCTGAGCTGCAACTGCCAGGATAGGGGATCTCACCCACCCAGTTCAGCCGCGAGGACACCTGCAGAAACACATTCTCAAAACAAGCCTGGGCGGCGGTGTGAAGGTATTTGTTGCGTTTTTCTTCCTTCTGTGTTCTCAGCGCCTCCCCGCCTGTCCCCGCTCTAGCGATGCCATGGCTGCGGCGTTTCAGCACTTCGCGCGTGGACAGCTCCCATCTGCAATCCCACTGCACTCCATCCCTTCTGCACCCCACTCTCCACCGCCTCCGCGGTCCATCCTCCTGCCACGCTGCCCAGCCTGCGCTCCCCAGCCATCGGCACCCTATCTCCACCATCGCCGTCATCATCTCCACCATCACCGGCGCGGTAACTACAGTCCACACAACTGTGTCTTGTCACTTAGACAAAGCCTGAGGTCCGCAAGGGAGAAAGGACAAGACCTCAAGTCCACAGGCATAGAGGGGAAAGTTCAGGGGGAAAGATCCCCTAAAAACAAAGAGAGACGCCTGCTTGAGAGAAAGGGAAAGTGGAGGCAGCAGGAAGAGACCCCAGAAAGGGGACAGATGGGGACTTGCCAGACACCAGCAGTTAGCCAGCTGCCTTTCAGCAGATTAGAGACTGTTTAGTTCAGGAAATTAACATGGCCTGAGGCATAGTGTGATTCCAGGAAGAAATGTTAGCTCAGCCCCAATATTCTGCTTTTCCAATGGAGAGTCATCAGGAAGCAGGGTGGGGGTGATGGGTGACTCACAGCACCCACATGGCTGGTTTTCTTCCTGAGCATTTACTGTAGAAACTCTGGAATTGTTTTGTTTTGTTTTTTTAATGTTCTATGAAATGAAAACCCCAAAGGTTAACTCTGGGGCCAACATGCAAATTTAAATGATGTAGCGAATTAGTGTAATAAATAAGCCTTTCACCAGGAAATTCTATTTGCTAAAACGGCTCTTCCTGTATACTTATTTCAATTTCCCCATCTTGAACCTCTCCTGGAAAGAGAACAGATATATCCCTTGCCCGAATGACCAAAGTGGTAATGATATTCTGAGCAGATGGCCTGGCTTTGTTCATTACTAGTCAAGGACCGGCTCAGATTGGGGAGGCAAGATTTTCGTGTGCTTTCTCAGTAATCAGGCAACAACACCATTTCCCTAGACTAGTAGAGGGTAATAGAGTGCAGAAACTGAAAAGTCATTTTATGTAACTGTGGTTTGCCTGTTTTTTAGGGCTATCGGCTTCTAGCAAAGCCGATGGGGAGTGGGAACATCTTTCAAGTAGCTCATTATTTTGAACCTGATGGTCCCGTTTCAGGTCACGGTACCTATTTGGTTTAACCAGGATCATTTGCTTTACAAGAGCTAACCAGCAACAGAAAACAAATGCTTGCCCCTTTCATAAATGTGTTCAAAGGGACTCTTTTGATTTGATTGTACTGAATCGCAAAGTATTGTAATTTCTTTTGTTGCCGTTTTCGCAAGTTGTTTCTCATAAAATCAGCATTTTAGTTTAAATGTGCTGTATCTAAGCAGCAATGTTGTCAGGTCCCTGTTCACAAGAATGTTTAAAGCAGGGTACACTACCCTTACACATTTACTCTGCCCCTTGGAAAGGGGACAGTGAAGCAAGTTCAGTCCGTGTGTATCTTTGAGGCACCACCCAAAGTAAAGAGACTCACACGCAGATCTGTCCTGGGAGAAGCTTTGTGAAAAATTCATGCTCCATCATCTTTAAGCTTGCTTACTGATGGACTCAAAAGCACAGTTCTAGGGGCCTCCAAATTTTACTCACTTTTAAGCTCAAACCAAGAAAAGCAGTGAAAATATTTGGCAAATTGTGTTACCTCTAGTCCCCCACTACTGTTCTTAGACTGATAATGTACACAGCAAACGAGAGCTCTCAAGTCTCTGGGAAAGATTTCTTAAAGCTCCCTTATTTATGGGCAAAGAATGGTTGAGACCCGGGGGGTTGGAAAATATGTATGTGTTGCCAATTTGAGCTGCTTCACCAGAAACCCAGGCCTGGAATGTGAAGCCTCTGTGCGGTCTTCCTGGACCTCATGCAGCTCCCTGAGGCTGGTGAGATTGCAAAGCAGCGCGACTTCTGTCTCTAAAGCAATGCTTCTTCCCCCTGAATGAGATACTGGGCTGAGTGTCTTAATTTTTATAGAGTGTTACTGCTGTGTCTTCCACACTTATTTTTTTTTTAGTTAGGGTTGTTTTTTTTTATATTGCTAATGACAAAACTTTCTCATTTAAAAATGGACTTAAAGGTAAACAGAAACAGGTTTTTTTTTTTCCTCAGCACAGTGCCCTTTTTGTAGACACACTTATAGAAGGGGAAGGGCACAGCACTTTAGAATCTGAACACAGAGCTTGAAGGCTCACTTCCTAGAAGATGGAATCTTGAACTGGTAGAACTGGTTGTGTCTGTTTGCATCTTTGGGGTGGACAAGAGAAACAGCCTATCATCTTTGAGAAACTGGCCTCTGATTTCAGAAACTCTGGCTGGCTTTGATCTTCTCTGCTGTGGTGGCACTGTGACCTGGGCAGAGAAGGTGACAAACAGCACGGGGGATGAAAGGCATGGAGCTTGTATACATGTATTAACCCAGAAAAGCTCTCAGGTCATCAAGAGAGGTGGCCCTCCCTTCCTTTGGCATCCTTTTCTGAAATAGTCATTGTTTTGGCCATTTTTGCACATAACCGGATTTCACTGGAATAAGACTTCACAAGAAGGCCCACAGTGTGAATGAGCACAAGTCTGCAACCCTCATTGGCCCCAGGTGTTATATCTCTCTAGCGAATCCAAGTTGTACTTAGCTTAAAGAAAGTTATATTCTGTTTAGCTAAACCAACTGGTCAGACAATGCCTGTCCGTGAAGAACCTTCTGAGCTCAGACATTTCCCTACATGTTTTGGGATGATGTACTCTGTGTTCTGGGAACTTACAGGTGAATCTTTGATTCTTAGATATCATGCAGATGTATGATTCTCCCTTTCCCATTTCTATTCCTTAAAATAGAATCACCTGGATTCCGATTCTATTATTACTCAGATGTATTACGTAAACTTCCAGACCTCTATGTATGCCACATGTATAGGTTACTTGGTGCTCTATATTTTACAGTTTTAGGAGAGGCAGGGGCAAAGTTATGCGCCAAGGGATGATTGTGGGGCTCAAGTTACAGACTACATAAGCAAACTCGTCAAAACCGAGTCACCTGATATTTCTTTCTCTTTTTTCTTTCTCCTTCTTTTCCTTTTTCCCTCTCTCCTTTTCCTTTTTCTCTCTCTCCTTTTTTCTTTCCCCTCTCCCTTCCTAACCCTCTTTCTTCTTTCCCAGCTGTACTTCCTTCTTCTCTCTCTCTCTCATCTCCTTTCTTTCTCCCCCTTTCCTTCTTTTTAGATGCTATATACTATGTAAACATCTGTGGGTATAATTCATAGGGTGATATAATGAGCTGTCATGGGTACAATTTTCCAGTGGGTATGGATGACCTAGTGACACGTTCATCCTTCTATTATCAATGTGGTGCTTCTGAAAACCAATATTTCAAGATTTGCTTTGGGGTAGGTCATTCACCTCAGCACTTTGGGGTCATTGCTTCTCAAGTCTGATTTTATTGCTCAGTCAGTGGGTCATCAGTGCACCTCAGCAGTCTGTTCCCAATAACCCGTGCAGTTCTGAGGCTGCTACTGATACATGGGTGAAATTTTGATTGATACATAATAATTATCAGATTTGTGGGACACAGTGTAAACTTCCAATGAATGTATACAATGCGCAGAGATCAAGTCAGATTCATTACCAGCTCTTCATGGTGAGAACCTTCCTAGTCTTCTGCTGATATTAGAATATATAGTCGTTGAAAACTACAGGTGGCCCATTGTGTTCTGAACACTGAAGCTTGTTGCTCTGACCTAACAGTATTCTGGTACGTCTCACATCTCCTTGTTGTCCATTCTTCCTCCCATTTCCCGCCTCAATTACTGTTCTCTTCTATCAAATCAATGCTCTTGTCCCTTAGATGTGAGGGAGAATACAGTATTTGTTTTTACATGACTGACTTATTTCACTTAACACAGTGCATGGACCTCCCCTGAAGAAGGAGGGACGACAGTTACCCTCTTGTTTAAATATCATACCTTCAGGTGCAATTAGTAAGGAAGTTTAACTGAAGCAAAACCAAACCATCCCAACTTCTGAGACAGTGAGAGCTCAACAGTCACACGTTGAGTCAAGAGAAAGTTGTGCGGGCTCTTCTTTCCTCCTGCCTTACCCCAAAGCAGCCTTCTCCATTGCACTCTTGCCTGGGCGTTTTCTTCATCCTGATCCTTGCTGCAGCCATTGTTGGCTCAATCACACCCATGAGAAGAGTCCCATTACATAGATGTCTGGGAAAAAATGAAGTGACAAGGGGAATTTAAAGGTCATTTGGGGAGCCATATCTATCTTATACCTCCAGATTATTTTTCTTGAATAATGGAGTCTATTTTGGGGAAAATATCTTCTTCCTCTGAGGAGAAAATAGTGAAGCATTTCTCCCTCTTGCTTCTCTCCCAATGACATGCCTACCAAATGCAACTGTTCTGCTTTGGACATTGGAGTGCCAACTGCTCGTGACTCCTTATGGCAGTGGAGAGATGTCCTATGAAGACATTTCAGTCTCATTTTCCACATCTCTATAGCCTTCTCCCCCAAGCACTGTCTTTCCATAAGATACACTGATTAAAAAGAAAATGTTACTCTAGTGAAAAACTTCCATCTTAACCCAGTGAAGAGGCAGAAGGCTACTCTGCCCTTTTCCAGCTTGCCTAACCCCTTTCGCATCACAACACAGCAAGGCGAAAACATAAAAGATGTCAGGATTCTGTTCTAGGACTCAGGACTCTACTCTCTGCCAAATAGCCCCAATGTGCCTGAGACCTGTTCTATCTCCATTTCAATCTGGCAGCTATTTTGGGTAAGAAGATCTCATTGTCTCCACATTGATGGAACGTATTGCAATTTACTTATAACCTTTCTCAAGAGCAGGCGCAAATGGAAGCACATGACAGTGTACTTGGTTGCTATTTTAAAAGGATCCAAGGGAGTCTACACAATG